GAAGCTGCTGCCCCCGCGACCCGACCCCGGATAGGCGGAAGAAAATGGATGGATGGATGGATGGATGGATGATTTGCAAGTCCTTTTCAACCTATGTTCAATTGAATACTAAATACATTTTTAATATTCAAATTGTTAAAAAATATCTATTTTAAATATTCGCTTGTTTAAAATTTGAGGCCTGCAACATATTCCAATAATGATGTGGGGTTTTAATGCAGTGCCGCCTAAAGGATCAAAGATCGCGGGCATTTCATGTTAGTTTTCAGCTTTGCTGCTTGCTTGAAAAGATTTGTCCAGATCTCTGAATTTTTTGATGATATTATGAACGTTATAAACTGACGATGAAATCCCTAAATTCATTTTAATTGGAAGTTGAGAAACATTGTTCCTAAACTGTTGAACTATTTGCTTATGCAGTCGGTCAAAAAGGAGTGATCCTCACCCCATCCTTGCTTGTGAACGACGGAGCCAAGGTCCCAACTTCATTGGAATTGGGGTTGTAAAACTATAATGAACAATGTTAGGAAAAAAGGTGGGATGTTATGTACAAGACGACTGCTTATTTTGGCTCTTCCCTCTTTATTTTTTTGGGGGGGGGGGAGAGACAGCATTTTACGGAGCCCGCGAGGGGACATAGGGGATTTTTTTCTTTTTGCGTTCCCACGCAAAAGTCGTTTAACACTGTTGTGTCTGCCAGTTTATTAACAAACTCACATGTTCACTGTTAGCGAGTTAGCCTACTGCTTTAATTTAGTTTCAGAATGAATATATCACACAACCATGCATGGAAGTATGTCATATGCTGATATTTTAACACAGTGCAGCCACGCAACATCAATATCAATTTCACGAACTTGTGGCGAAACATCCTGTTTTGGTAACCGTATATTTCAAAATAAAAGTCTGATTTAATTCAGTTCATATACAAAACAAACTTTTGCGTGGGAATGCAAAACAATTTTGTGAGGGAATGCAAACATTTGCTAGGTAACACAAAAGTATTGCGAGGTAACGCAATAGTATTGCGTAGGAACACAAAAGAAAAAAAAAACCCATGTCCCCTCGCGGGCTTTGTAGAAATTATCTACAATGTCTACAACGGTCCATGAAAAGTGTGTGTGAAAACGAATGCCGAACAACCACGTAACTGTGCGTCGTCTGCCGATCGACCATACTGAGCCCTAAACTGTTTGATAACCAAGGGGAAGGGACATCTATAAATTGATTGGCGTTGAAAGACTTTTTGACCAGTGACAAATTAAATTTTGCTTCTAATTTTTCATAAGCACTGAAGAGCTACTTTAAATGAAACCAGGAGCTACCGGTAGCTCACGAGCTACTGGTTGGAGACCCCTGATCTACATCCATATACATTCTTTATTTTTTCTGGCAGCTACATCTCTAACATCCTTCTATCAGTTATACCCACTGTCCCCCTGGACATGTCCAAACCATTTCACTTTGTCCTATCAAACTTTATCTACTAATCGTTCAATCTGTACAGCCAAAGTCCAAAGAACAATAAAATTCAAAATAAGAAAACCTAGCAAAATAATGTTTTGGACCACCTTTCAAAGAGATCAAAAGATGTTTGACTATTTAAAAGCAAAATATAAAGAAATGAGAGATGACCCAAGATTTCTTTTATATTTTTTAAGAATGTCATTTGTTTTTTATATTGATTTTTGCCTTGTGTTCAACACTTTGGTGACAACTTGTTGTTTTTAAATGTGCTTTATAAATAAACTTGATGATGATGAAGATTTCTGCACATTTTTGTGCACGCATGCATATACTGTATGTACAGAAAGGGATTACTAAACCAGGAGAATCAGTAAACCAAAATGGATTAACACCCTGAGTAGGTGGGGAAAACCCTCGTCTCTCATGTTATTATGAAAGAGAGAAAAAAACACCTGTTGCTAAAATCAGTCAGGCTTGCAATTTAATTTTATCAGCCCACAAACAATCACTCATTAGGTTGCTGGAATGATGATAGAACCCAGTCGGCTGTGAAGCTTCGCATTCTCCAGCACAACGCATAACAAGAGACCTCTTTACATTGGGAGGAACCTGTTCAGCTGAATCCTCTCAAACAGGGGGACATTTGCAGCAGCAACACTGGGTTATTCAACTTATGTCACGCTCACTAATCTTTTTAATACCCCCAGAATGAAAAATACAAAAGCACTCATGTGTCCAACATTAGTTCCCAAAATTATTATGTCAACACTTAGTATGTAATCAAAAAAAATCCACATTTTAAATGACCTCAGCCAGCCAGTTGTTTTACAGACAGATACTGTTTCAATGTTTGACTCTCTATTTTAATTCAACTCCCTCTCCCTCTTGGGGATTTGCTGATTGGCAGATGTTTATTAAATTGAGAGCTGAAATTCTAATGTAAAATAGATTATCCTAACAAAGTGGATAATAAAAGTTTTGGTGCAGTGTAGTCCAGAGTAAAAGCTTGTTTGCACACTTCATCGGCTGTGTCCAAATTCAGGAGCTGCATCCTTCGAAGGCCAAATTTGAAGGCCGATTAAGTCACAGTGATGCACTGAAAAGTGTTTGAATTCAAAGGCTCCTCCAATTGTGACCCACAAATATGTCCTCCTTTTCCCTCAAAACAGGAAAAGGTGGACGACCCACCCTATTCCAAGATGCAATGCAGGCCGATCTAGATATTTTGATTTCTTGTAATGGTAGACAAAGACAGGAGTACAGCTTTAAATAAAAATCTGGCGGTTTAAAAAARATGAAGCAGTTGTGTTATTAGGTTTTTGTTAGGGGTAAGGGGGGAATAAAGCTGAAGAATAGATCATTCAGATTCACAGCCACTTTTCTGGTCTTCATGGTTGACAAAGGACCCAGCTCACGTAGACCAGGTGCGCCATGTTTTTTGAACGATTTTTCGCTAAGGTTATTTCACTTCAGAAAAGCCTCAAATGCAAGTTTTGTTGGCATTTTGTTAAAATATGCTAAAACCTGAACACAAAAATTTCAACATGATTACAATATTTTGCTGAAGGAAAAAAAAAGTTGAACAATTTAATTTGTTGATTAGATGTTTCTAGCGCTGCATGGTATATGCAATAGACAGTAGAAATAATATGAAGTTGGCCTACGGCAGAAATTTACCCTCTACCATCCTGTCGTCAGTTACGTCATCACATCTGTGTCAACATGGTTGCGAGTGCAAAGACTACTGAGCAGGAGCTGTTTGAAATATGATTAAACAAATTGTTTCCCCATTCCCTCCCCTGTGTCATCCATGGGTGGACCAGTCCGGAGGCTGCGGTGGTGGTGACAGAAGTGACTCTGGTGAACTGAGCTTGGGTTGATAACAACTGGTTATGGACTCTGGGGGGTCTTGGATTGGTTCCAGCATGGAGTATTAACCTGAAATGTCACCGGCTCCACTGCACCCCCCCCCCCCCCCCAGCTGCTTTGCACTGAGCGAGTGGTAAAACACGTGTAGAGAGAATAAATCCTCAAAATTTCTCCCTCCCACTGTAGAAAATTTACGTTGTGCTGTCGTGTTGCGGGATCATTTCCTCCCTCCCTCCCAGCACTTCACGCAGAAGGAAGCATTAACAACTGTCATTTTTTGCACCCAAGTTGTCAGAGAAAAAAACTTGTTTTTTATGTATTGTTACCCACAGAGATGATAAAACAAGATGTGGACGTTCGTTCAGTCATCCTTCTTGCTAATGTAAGAGTCGCTTCTGCTCGGATGATCAAGATGATGAAGATGAGAGCGCAGCAGAGCAGCAGCTGATATGCTCAGGAGGCAGAAGCTCATTGTATGGCAGGCAGATATTACATTAATTTGGCTTCACCACACTTAAATTCCAGTTGTCTGAAATTGTTTTATGATGGGACTATGTGCACGTTTAAGCCCCTTAAGGTCCTGTCACACTATAACATTTCAGGCAATATTGAATTTTTTATGTCTAAATGACTAATTTTACTTGAAGTACTGGTTATAACATCCACTTTATTTTGATATTGTTGAAAATTTGAGAAATGTTTTTGTTTGTTGCTGAAACCGTTTTGCAATATATATAAAACGTTATTTTGTACTTATTTTATGTTCATTTGCACTACAGCAAAAATGCTGGGTTTGATTATGATTCCAGTTTTCTGCAAAATAAATGCTCTAAAAATTACGTTATTTTTGCTTTATATGATAATTTTCTACTGCGATATATACCGTTACCATGAAGGGATTCAATATTGTGATATGAATTTGAGGTCATCCCGCCCAGCCCTAGGTGTTTCCAATGTCACAAAAATTACTTTTCGTGTATAAAGCTTTAAAAAAATGCAACCTAAACTCCAAAAATGAATTTCCTCCCTGTGACACCTATTCTCTGTCTCGAGTATGGCCTCCCTCAGTGTAATATCTTCCTGCGGCAGTTTGATTTGACACTCACGAAGAGACAGCAGCACGTCCTTTGAATCCTCTGGAAAAACACAAGTGCAGACAAACACTGGAGCGCAGACTGTCAGTTCCCCTTTAGTTACTTTTGACAGCAAAATAAATACATGAGCTCTCTGTAATCTGAGCAGGGTAAACTGGCTGGATTTCTTTCTTGTACACACAGACACACGCAGCCCACCCTGAAATTATCCTTTATAGCTTTCTCAAAACAAAACAAAACAAAAAAAAGTGAACAGAGCAAAACTGTCTGAAACTTAAATAATGATGATGTGGTTGCAAGATGCTCTGGACAGAAAAAAAGATGAACACAAAATGTTGGCATGCAACCATTTATCTAAAGCATAATGCTATTGATAAGACTCATCTATTCATAATAAAGTGTAATGTATATGACAGCTGCTGAAAAACAGGAAATTGATGCTAAATTCCAAAATCAAACAAATAATATAGAAGTAATGCATGAGGCATGAATRATTTCAAATTAACATTTCTAAAATATGTGTAACACTTACTTAACAAAAGGGTTTTAAGGTCTAAAAATGACCCATAATTATATGAAAGCATTACGTCACAAAGTACTTGCCCTGGTATGTGTCCTTTTATGAGTTAGGTTTAGTATTAGTTGAAAAATAAAATTACCCTGGTGGTTTTCAAATTGTACACATAATACAGTAACATCCATGCCATGCCAGATGTTATCAACAGGTGGAGTTGGGTCATGTTGCCAATCAAGTTCTACAACCCTTCAGTAAAAAGACACAACTGCCGGTGTCCTTATCCATCCTTCTGTCTTGCAAAACAGATACTGAGCAGGATACCTTCAACACCTTCTTCAGAACACAATAGACTGACAATGGAGTCATGAAGAAAAAAAAAACACAAAGACAATGGAGTCATGACAAAGAAAGCAGCTATCCTTATTTCATGTCCAAGGTAGGCTGATACATTATTGTTTCTGAATGTCCTAATACTACAATGACTTCAAAAGCAGAGCTGTGGAAAAAATAAATATATAAAACTTTACTCTAAAAAAACTTTAAAGGGAACAAATCATGCAAAATCTTCTTTTAGCCATTAAATGCATTTTGTTGTCTACTTGGAGTCTATAGGAGAGCAGAAAAGTTTAATTTAGTCTCTTCCGGTGCTGTGAATATATATTTATATTCTGTTTGGGTCATATTTTTCAACTTGTCCAGTTTTCTCTATTTTTCTATGGTGTTTTATTACATCAAAGTATTTGTCATAGAATTGCTAAATAAGGTCTGGACTTGCCAACATTAATTTGGTGGTCTTCATTCTCCTCTGGCTCCGTCAGACTCTGGCTCCAACATGTAAGTCTGGATGAACAAGTTTTTCCTTGTTGACATCTTTTAATTAATTTGTGTATGAAAGGTCTCTGCGCTGCTATATAGTTGCAAAACCCTCTATCAAACTAGAATGAACCGCTCTGGAAGCTGTGGGCCGGGTGGGAAGCACCTCATTTGGATTTAAAGAGACAGCCTCAAAATGAGTTGATCTGAGAGACAGCTCAGAAAAGTGGTGAAAAGGGCTTGTGGAGTTACAATGAGGAATTCAGACCAAAGCATTATAGTTTCACTTTATATAGACTCCAACTGAATGATTTACATGTGAAAAAATGATTTATGATGATTTATCCTTAATTTTTTTTTCAAAAATGTTATTTTTATGCATTTAAAATATTATTTATATGAAGAGATTTTTTGGCTTTTATAATCATCCAGTTCATTTTATTCCCCCAATATTATAAGTATTATTGTAAGAAAATAAGAAATTAAGAAAATGAGTCTTTTGTTACCATATTTTCTGCTTGTGAACCAATTTTATAGCCAAGAGGTTATCTATTTATGTTGTGATGCCAGTCCAAACCTTTACTCTGTTTTACCAAATCCATTGTGTTTTTTCAATTGTTCCTTCTAATCATTACAGAAAAAAGGCAGTAATCTTGCTCTGTGGTTGTAAATTGAAAGTGTAATATCTAATAATAGGGGGGAGCAGCAGAAAAACTATAATAACCTAGTCCAGATTTCTCAGCAAATGTGACATAAAAATAGATTTTCTGTTCCAAATAAGACTAGGAAAAGGCAATGGGCAAATAACTTTGACCCGAGGTTAGGAGGCATCATTGGTCACCCCATTTGGAAAAGCCATGTTCTTCCCATACCTCCTAATGYTTTTGACAGCAAAAGCTAAAACTGATGAGGAAATATTATGTCTTTTATAAGTAGTTTTTTTATTGATTGAACTTTCAATTTTGTTTTGTTTAAACATATTTTCAGATAAATATATATTCAGCTGTACATCAGCAAAGCATTCATTTGTGATAAAAGCCATTTGTTCAGATTGCCTGCAAAAAAAARGGGATTTATTGTTGTGGTTTTTAATGCAAGATTCATCTAAATATCCTAAACTCATTTACAATCCCAAATGTCTTTTGAATCCTAAAATGTGCTCTTTGCTGATTTCTCTACAAATGGCTGTTGTCAAAATAATGGCATACAGATTAAGACTTTCTCATTTGTTTCCATGATTGAGGCTGCARCTGAGCTAATAAATTGCAGTGACATTCTCATTTAGTCAAAGTATTTCAGTACAAATGTTCTTTCAGACATTTTTTCCCCTTTGCCTTCTTGTACTGCTGCGTAACGTTGGTAAACAGGCCACACAGTACAATTTTTATCAGGAATATTGATTATKTAGATGATGTAGCGACAAAATAGTCTAATAAAACAGGTCACCTTACACCACTAAGACCAAAAGATGAAACATTACTGACTTTTCCAGAGAGAGCAGATTTTTCTTAAAAACAGAGGCAATATTTCTGCCTCAGAGATACCATCTAACATTAGTCTGCCCCTTTGACTTTTTCACTATATTTATCTTGTRCCAGCAAATAAAAGAACACTTCTTTCTCTTCTTCCAAACACGTTTCTTTTGACTAAGCATGTAAAACATGAATCTCTTTGCTATCTGACTCTGTGTTAGTCAAACGGTACTGAGAGGCTTTAACTTTAACTGCAGATGCTTTCAGTTTTGCTACAGATTTGTTGATATTTTTAAGGTAATTTAGAAAAGATTTCAGGTATCAGTGTAGTCGTGGTCCTGTAGTAAAAGAACCAATATTAAGGAAAAGAAATGCTTTTTTGTGAGCAAGCCTTTCTGTTTTTACACGTAGGCTGTGCWCCTTAAGTTATGTGTGTGGACTTTAAGACCAAAGTTGCTGTTATTTGTGTGAATGTTTCTWAAGAATTCCCACTATTGAGATAATCTTTTCCTATGAAATGTTTTTCGGCACGTATCTCGTTCCACAATTTATGTGCTATTTAAAATTAAACTCCTTTGGTACATTCCAGCTATGACGTTTGATATTTCAGCAGTTTATATGTTTTAAGATGTTTAGCTTTTTCTGTAACCTTTTTGTAACTGAAAATGAATGGAGCTGTTTTCATCATTCGTTTTTAGTTATTACTCTAATTTCTACTTTTTTGACCTGTGATAAAATCTAGTTTTAACTGCTTATTCAGAAAATAGCCACTTTCTAACTTCTTTTGGGCTAAAGGAAAAAAAAATGTATAGGTCCTCTGGACGGGTTCTTCTTTAATGAAACGTTTTGTCTCTCTTCCAAG